TAGTATATCTGCGTCTGTGTGTGTGTGTAAATATATATCCAACAACAAAAGTGTTTGCATATATATATATATATATATATATATATCCTCAAGAACAATGGTGTGTCTATATAGATATATCTCCATAATCCTCACAGATGAGCATATGATTGTCCCAACGACTCTTGACAATTGTGTGCGTACAGCCCCACTCGCCGTCTGCTTGCGCAGTGTTTTGCTTTACCATATCGACACATGCCATAACAGATGACACCACAACTGAAACTCCAATGAACCACAAATCACACCACAAATCACATGGAGTGTGTGTCAGCGTAGTGATATTTTTAGTTACTGCACACTCATTCTCTGTCTCTCACACACACACACACACTCTCTCTCTCTCTCTCTCTCTCACTCGCACTCACACACTCACTCTCTCTCTCGCTCTCTCTCTCAAACACACGTGCGCAGAGTCGATGCCTGTGTGGCTGTCATGGCTTCACTATCTGTCGTTCTTTAACTACGGTTATGAGGCATTCACTCTCACAAACTCTCTCTCTCTCCAACACACGTTTTAGAGTCGATGCCTGTGTGGCTGTCATGGCTTCACTATCTGTCGTTCTTTAACTACGGCTATGAGGCGTTGGCGGTCAACGAACTCGACGGACTGTTCCTGTCAGGCAACGTCTACGGGGACGTCTCGGCTGACAATGTAAGTTGCATTTAAATGTATGTGCATAGGAGATGGTGGTGTGGTGATGTGTCTATGTATATTTATGTACCAATCATACGCGTATGGATGTGTATATGTGTTTCTTTTTCAACTCGCATACGTATTAATGTGTGTGTGTATGGCATTCCTATTTATCTATGTATATATGATATACCCCACAATTCCTCTCCACCTCACACACACTACCACCCCCTCTCTTACACTCCGCTGCCGCTCTGTATGCGCCACAGATTAACTCGACTGAGATTCTGATTAAACTTGGGCTACTACCAAGTAGCTATCTGTTTGATCTGTGTGCATTGACTGGTGCCGTTGCTCTGCTCATAGCCTTGGGCTATTTGGCGCTTAGAGGATATGCGAAGTAGTGGCTCTGGCCACCTAATGAAATAAAACGTATACGTGCGCAGGTGTGGATATAGTACATTGATGGGATATTATTACAGTACACGCATATGTGAATAACGTAGTAACGTCAATGTACACACGTTTATGAATATAGTTCTGTGATAGTATAAAGTTTTTGCATACACATGTATGGATATAGTTATTTGATGTATCAGTTGATCTGCATGTGCATGTGGTTGTGTGATTTGCTCGTTCTATCTGTTCATCCTAGTTCTTACTATCTGTGTGGCCGCGGTGAACGATATTTCTTCTTCAAACCATGGATTCGTTGCAAAATTACCCCTATATTCAAGCATTAAGTCAACTGCGAGTGTCCATTACAATATATATATTTATATACATAAATATA